TTTTTTATAATCAATATATATTTATGTTTTATAACAAAAAAAATCATTGTGTATGGAGTACTTGTTCAATATTTATTTACTTATTTTAATTACTTATTTAATATCCTGTAAACAAATGACACTTTATCTTTAGTATAAAGCTTTAGATCGCTCCCCGCTCCGCTGATTCTATCCGTACACAGCGGTCACTGGCATTCCCCTTCTGCCGTGTAAACAAAGGGGCGGGGATGCCGGTGACGTCACCACGCACCCCGCCCCTTTGTTAAACGCTGTGACGGGCGGGAACTCGCGCCGGCCAGAACCAAGGTAAGCTGTTCCCGCCCCTGCCTGTCACTTAGCTACCTATCTGCTGCCTGCCACCTACCTAGCTACAGCCTGCATCTTATATATATTATAGGTAGATACAGACTGGTACAGACTGATGTGACTGGAGTGGGGTGGGGGTGTTTTATTTATACATATATACGCCTTTTTTTTAGGTTAGGGAATGGAAGTTTTGAGTGAGTTCCCCCAAGCCATACTGAGGGTCTCAACTGCTTCCGCTCTAAAGCCAAATGTGGTTCAGATTTGTGAGAAGAAGCGCTGTCAAGTCTCTGGCAGCAAGGAGTAGGCAAAAGATGCCATGTTCAGAAGAACTGTTCATAATCTTCACTCAATGTTCTATTAATGTTCAGGACACTTCATGTTCGGAAGAAATAATTAAAACTGTTAATAATGACATTTGAGGACTTTTTTTTTGTGAAATCCCTTATGCGGCCCAGCCTCACCCAGACTTTGCCTCCTGCGGCCCCCAGGTAAATTGAGTTTGAGACCCCTGCTTTAGATCAAATGTTTTTTTTTATGATCATAAGAAATGTAGTGAAGTGTGTTCACCATCTAACTGCTGCACATTCACCAACTCTCCTGGCAGCCCAGCATGCATTTCACTGACCTTCTCTTCTTAATCACCAAGGACTGTGAAGAGACTCTCAGCATTACTCGACCCCTGAACCAAAATCCCAGCTCTGATTTCACACTGTAAGTGATCCTCTGACTGACCTGCTCTGGACTCTGCTGGCCGGTTTTCTGCAGGGCTATGATGGCGGTCCTCAGCGGGTACCCCTGCTCAGTGACGGCCGCCAGCAGGTCCCGCTCCTCTGGGCTCAGCGCCGACAGCAGCTCCACAGACGAGTCCAGGACGGCAGCGTGGGAATTGAGTGGCCGTGAAGGGGCCGGGGGACACCATGAACTCTGGGCCTGGAAAAAACAACAACAGTACCTCATGGTCACAGCACCCTTGAGAGATGAGGGCAGGAAACACAATACTGAGAAAATACACAATCATAAACACACTGTTGTTGATGCACGGCTTGATTCAGAAACATTTGCATTAGTGCTTGGTTTAGGCACTTTCATCCAAAGTAAAGGCCAGACTTATTTTATAAAGCAACTCTTTAAAGTCTAAATGTTTTGTTTTGTGTAGGAGCCTCTACTGACTGGATTTCTATGTCAAAGAAGGCAGAACTGCATTTGTGTTGCGTAAAGGCTGCAGACTGATGCTAATTTGAAGGCGTTTACTGGCAAACTTTTTCATAATGTTTGTTTAGGCAACCTGATTTACACTCCTAAAACAAACTTAAATTATTATTATTATTATTATTATTATTATTATTATTATTATAAGGTGCTCCACAGAGCTCATTTAACCAATGCCAAATTAGCCAAATTCTTCCCTGATAGAAGTGTCGCCTGTCATGGTTGTAAGCAGTCTCCTGCCAATCATCTCCATATGTTCTGGAGTTGTCTCCAATTGAAAAATTTCTGGTCCAGTGTTTTTGACACACTCAATAAATCTATTAACATAAATCTAGACCCTAACCCCTTGACAGCTCTTTTTGGCATTTCAGAGAGAGTTGACCTGACTGTTGCATCTCGCCAGGTAATTGCTTTTTCTGCTCTTTTAGCTAGACGAGCCATTCTTATCAAATGGAAACGGGTGATTCCAGAAATAACATGACATGTGGATCCGAGAAATCTTTAGTTACATAAAACTTGAGAAATTAAGATGTTTACTTGCAGGATCTCTCAAAACTTTTTACAAGACCTGGAACCCTGTTTTAGACTATATCAAAGGCTTACCCTGCTCAGTTGATATCAGATCTAATACACAGTAAATAATTGGAAAAAGGAAATATTGACTCCTTTTTCATTTTTTATTTATTTATTTATTTATGTATTTTTTGCTCTTATCGTAAAGTTGCTCATGTATTATTATTATGTTTTTTTTAAGAATTTCTTTTTATTTTTATTTAATTTTTAAATNTATTATTATTCTTTTTTTTCTTCNAGAGGATATGTTTGTTTATAATTCATCTATTTAATTTATTTTATTTTTAGGGGATAGTGGGAAAATAAGAAAAATAAGACAATCTTTATTTACATATATTATTTACTGTCATCATGGCAAAGATAAAATAAATCAGTTATTAGAGATGAGTTATTAAAACTATTATGTTTAGAAATGTGTTGAGAAAATCTGCTCTCCGTTAAACAGAAATCAGGGAAAAAAATAAACAGGGGCGCTAATACAGTAAATCAGAGGTGCTAATAATTCAGACTTCAACTGTATATATTTTTTTAATATCTCAATATTGCATCACACCAGTTTGTTCTTTTAATATAACTTTAGGTACATTAAGTCTTATGTTGGGTTTAAAGACAGCACATGCTCACGTCACTTGCTCTAGTTCATTCGCAGGATATTTTTTGCCTCATGGAAATGTTTCAATCAAGTCAAAAGTGTGTGAAAGATTCGATTAGGGTGAATTCCATTGCAGCAAACCCGTTAAGAATTCGCCTCTATTAATACAGATGCATTCACGGTGTGAATTTGCCATTAAAACAATTCAAAATTAACTGTTTATTTAACTGTTTAAAATGAACTGAAGTATAAGCACCTTAACTTTAAACAGGCTTTGTTTTGGCCTGCTGTTGGTTTTGATGCATATTTTGGTTTTGTTTACATTACATTAGATTTAGCTTGAGAATATCAAGCCTTAAACGAGCTAAAAGCAAACCTTGTGTGGGTCTAATTTGGTTAAAGTGAATTTACATCAGTTTTTTCTTTGATTTTGTTTAAAGTACATTCAACTTAAATCTCAATTCAATTAGGCTCAAAAAAATCGTTCAAGTCCTAAACTCAAAACAAATTTCTTTTATGCTGATTTTGATCAAAATCACATCACACCAGTTCACTCTCTGATTTCGCTCCAAGTACGTTTGGCATTAAAAGGACTCAAAACAAACTTTGATTTGGCCTTTAATGTCATTTAAAAATGACGCCACACTAGTTTGTATATCAGTGCCTTTACAGTGTATTAAAAATATCCAATTTATCAGTATATGCATTTCTCAAACTGATTACCTTTGAGTTAGTACTGCCATTTATCACTAGCTGTGCAAAAAACAAACAAACAAACAAACAAACAAACAAACAATAAATATTGTTTTGGCCTTTGTTTTGGCCTGCTGTTGGTTTTGATATATATTTTGGTTTTGTTTACATTACATTAGACTTCGCTTGAGAATATCAAGCCTTTAACGAGCTAAAACAAACCTTGTTTGGGCCTAATTTGGTTCGAATCACTTTTGACTAGTTTGTTCTTTGATTTTAATTAAAGTACATGAAACTTAAACTTTAATTCAATTCAATTAGGCTTAAAAAAAGCTATCACGTCCTAAACTCAAAACAAATTTATTTGGGCTGATTTTGATCAAAATCACATCACACCAGTTCACTCTCTGATTTCGCTCCAAGTATATTTGGCATTAAAAGGACTCAAAACAAACTTTGATTTGGCCTTTAATGTCATTTAAAAATGACGCCACACTAGTTTGTATATCAGTGCCTTTACAGTGCATTAAAAATATCAAATTTATCAGTATGTGCATTTCTCAAACTGATGACCTTTGAGTTAGTACTGCCATTTATCACTAGCTGTGCAAAAAAAACAAAAACGAACAATAAATATTGTTTTGGCCTTTGTTTTGGCCTGCTGTTGGTTTTGATACATATTTTGGTTTTGTTTACATTACATTAGATTTCGCTTGAGAATATCAAGCCTTTAAAGAGCTAAAAACAAACCTTGCTTGCGTCTAATTTCCTTCGAATCACTTTACACCAGTTTGTTCTTTGATTTTGATTAAAGTACATGAAACTTAAACTTCAATTCAATCAGGCCTAAAAATCGATGACCTTTGAGTTAATACTGCCATTTATCACTAGCTGTGCAAAAAGGAACAAAAACGAACCAAAAATATATTGATAGCACTGAAATAAGTATAACATTATCAGGAAAGGCTGGGAAGCATTGCTGGAAAATGCACTTCATTATTTTACAGAAAATAAATACTGCATTGCAAAACTACACACTTGCTTTTATATCCAGTGACCCTGCAGGAGATGATGTCATGGCCATTAATAAGACGTCGAAGATTAGACCGTCAACAAAGGCACAACCTTGAATCATAGCTTTGCTGAGAAAGACATTTCCCAAACACTTCCACTCGCTAATCCAGACGAATTTGCTGCAGCTTGGGAAGATTCCAGGAAAAGTCTTAGCACTCGCTATTAATAGCCAGTTCATCATATGAGACATTGACAAAAGTGCAGTAAAAAAAAAACTAAAATGAAACAATGTGCTGTGGGAAATGCCATTCACATCTAATATATGAAAGGACTGAGATGCGCAGACAACAAAATACCTTGCAGCCACGGCGTGAAAACAGTAACACTGGAGAGAACTGGCTAAATGAAAACCAGTCGGACTCTGATGTCTCTTGCCTCAGTGATTAAAATACCTTTCTGGACTTATTGGAGGCATGTCAGTTAAAGCCATTTATAGCAGGGTCAGCGGCTGCCTTCTAAGGACGGCTTTTATTGTGGGATCTGAACTATTAAAAATGTCAAGTCAACTGGCAACCATCTGGTGGTCTTCTTCAAAGACAAGCAAAACTAAATATTTCTGCGAACAGATTAAAGAAGCGGTCTGTTTCCTAAAAGAGGCCGAACTGTCAGTTTGGGAACATCAGAACTAAGCCAAACGAGACCAGCAAAGGGGAGTGTCGTTTATTTAAAGTGTTTATTGTTTCAGAGCTGCTAATGACCTGCTGTTTGGAGCAATTCTGAACCACACCTTGTGGAATTTAGATGAACCATGTCTCAGTTTTTGTTGGTGTTCTTCTGCTAAAGCTGCTCGTAGTGAAGTCTATACACAAATGACAGAACTTACAGTTTTTCTCGGTCGCTTTGGTACATTTCTCAGATCAGAATTGAAATTTGTGAAACAGTAAGTACTGTACATTTCTCAAAACAACGCGTTCAGATAGCAAAACACCATGGATGACCTGCAAAAGCCAGTCTCTTGCTCAAAATCCTTAGTTTAAACTATGCATACCTGTCAACTTTGGCATGTAAAAATAAGGAATAAATAAAAAAAAACTAAATAAAATTAGTTGTGTTTAATAGAAAACCCACCAAGATCGACATGTTTAGATTATATTATTATTATTAGGGGCCAAGCACCGTAGGTGTGTAGGCACCTATTGCTTTTGTTAGAGTTCCTATTATTATCATTTTTCTTCCATTTCTTCCGCCGGATTTGAATGGCAGCCCATATAGGCGTATGCGGGAAAGTTGTATAATTTGGCACAATGATAGAGGACAGTCTTAACATTAATCAGACCAAATATGAAGTCTCAAAATCAAACTCTCTAGCGCCACCATTTGTCCAAACTTTCACGTATGTTTATCATGATAACTTTTAAACCGAATGGGCTACAATCAAAATTCTTTTTTTCTCTGATTCATTGGCTCAGTCCGATTCAAACGCACCATATCATGTCATTTTCCGTCATGAATTTTTTCACGGTATTTTAAATTTTTCGAAAAACCTATTTGATTAAACTCGTTCAAGGTCATTTCTCCGATTTTCACCAAAATTTAATCACATGATCTACAGACCATGCCAACCAAAAGTTATGGAATTCAAGTTGATTTGACCAACCGTTTTTGTTTAACTTGCGATCAAATTTAACGTAGAACTTGCAAAAATGGACTTGAGGCGATATCTCCGTAACGCATTCATCGATTCACACCAAACTTGGTGTGTGTTATGACAACTAGGGTCTGAGGTTATATTCGAAGTTTCGGCACACTGCCTCCTAGTGGTCCGGAGATACATGGCTTATAACATCTCAACCTTTTGTCCGAAACTCATAAAACTGGTCTCATTACATCCGGCAGAGCATGCCGAGTCGAATGATGTCTGATTTTCACAGGTCAGCCAAAAGTGCTTGGCCCCTTAATTGCTGCTTGCAGCTATATTTATTATTATTATTATTATTATTGTCTGTTCAAATTAAACCAAAAACCCAATGTCCACTCTGTCTGCTTCAAATCGCCTGTACAGAATTAGTTTGGGATTTATACATGAACTCATGAACTCTACAAGAACTGACTGGTCTGAGGATTGCATAGGAGGGGCGATAGTGCCTGTATTATAAAGGAAGGGAATATATCTCTTTATATCTATTTCAAAGAGTTTGCATGTCTAAATAAAACGAAAGCACAGAACTGATTCATATTTAAGAGCAAGGGCCGTCTCCTGGTGGCTTAGCTGCATATAGGGAGGATCGGTTCTTTAATGTTTATTGCCACCCTTTATAGAAAGATTAAAAATATGGGAGAAATATGGGAAAATAACTTAATGGGATGATAGCAGGAAAGAATTGTAAAATACCGGAGAATCCCGGGATGGTTGACATGTATGAAACTATGGCCAATTTTTTTAATGCTGTTTTTACTGTAATTTGTTGACAGATCATGTCATTAGGATAGTGAAGGGAAAAGACAGCCCTGAGAAAAAACTAAACTAAAGCAGAAAGATGAACATAGGAGATGTTTCAGATGCACATTTATTAGAAAAAGAATAGAAATTGACCAATTCTAGACAGATTTAGAAAAAATCTAACGGAAATGTATAGAAAAATGCATTATGCCTAGATAATATATGATTACTTGTTCGGCCATTTTGCATGTAAAGACTTATGCCATGAACAAATGATTAAAATGTTATGGGGAGTGACACAGTGAACAGTGAAACCATTATAATACATTTTGATCAACCTAAGTAATTGATAATGTAGGAAACAGCAGAGAATTGCACATAATCATTTGCATGGATGTACAAAAGCATTTACAACTTGTTCAAAGTAACGAGAAACTACTTTTCTTTGATGTGACACAGGTAGTGATTAAACAGGCTGTTTTGAAAAATTCAATTCTGATCAGAGAAAAACTGTAAACTGATCTCTAACTAAAGCTGCTTTTAAAGGTATAGTTCGTTCAGAAACGGAAATTCCTTCATCGTTTACTCTTCCTTGACTTTTCACAAACCCGATACAGCTTCTGAACAGAAAAGAAATTATTTAGAAAAGTGTTGGAAACCTGTAACCATTGACATCCATGGTATTTGTTGTTCTTGCTGGAAGTCAATGAGTACAGGTTTCTAACATTTTTTTCTAAATATCTTCTTTTCTGTTCAGCAGAAAAAGGAAACTCATAAATGTTTGAAGATACTTGAGAGTGAGTACTTTTACATTTTTGGGTATTAATGATATCAGCGACTGAGTCCTGAAAGTCACACTTGGCCCTTAGAGTTTAGTATCATGCTGCATTCACACCAC